AAGTGGACCACTTCATGCTTTCCCAGTGCAGTCACTGACCGCAAGCCTATAGTCAAATCCTTCCCCTCGCTCACGGAGGCCGAGAGTTTCATCAAGTCAGACGGCACAGGGCCTAGCAGGTCAGGAGTCCAGAAATACTATGCAGTACAAAATGGGCGCGTCCCAGGTGTCTACACCGACTGGCAGAGCGCTTCAGAACAGATCCGCGGCTGGACGAAGCCAAAACACAAAGCGTTCACAACGAGAGCGGAGGCGGAAGCTTTCGTATATGCAGGAGGAAATGTGGATGGCGCTTTTGGGAGTCCCATTGGCAGTGGGGCCGGCACCCCGAGCGGCAACGCGGCGAAGAAGCAGAAGAAGAAGGCAGGGAAGGGAGATAGTCACGCGCCGTCCGAGGAGCCTGGGGATTACGAACCAGGCGAAGGACCTCTTCCGCCAGATACAGAGGACGGATTCGACCCACGGATCACCCTCAACCCCGCGACCGGCAAGATCGAATACAAGACGGCAGAGCAAGCGAGGGCTACGAAGTGGCATGCTAGCGGCCCAGCCGATACTGGCATGCTGCGTATCTACACCGATGGCAGCGCTCTCGGGAATGGCGGAAACGGAGCGATCGCAGGAGTAGGCGTCTACTTCGGCCCCAACGATTCGAGAAATGTCTCTGAGCCCTTGAAGGGCGAACGACAGACGAATCAGCGTGCTGAGCTGACGGCGATCTTGCGTGCGCTGGAGCTGGCGCCGCGAGATAGACCCGTCACTATCTACTCGGACTCGTCATACGCTATCAAGTGTGTCACGGAGTGGTTCCAGAAATGGAGGAGTAACGGCTGGCTCAACTCCTCGAAGAAGCCGGTCGAGAACAAGGACCTGATTGAGAAAGTGCTCGCGTTGCTGGAGGAGCGTGAGAGAATTGGCAGAGCGGCTGGTGACGATGTCAGTGAGGGCAAGGGCAGGTCTAGAGTCCAGTTCGTCTGGGTTAAGGGCCACAAGGATGACCCGGGCAATATCGCGGCGGATGGTCTGGCTGTTGCTGGCGCGAAGGAGGCGAAGGAAATGGCTGGTCAATATTAGGCCCGGAACTGCTACGATTCTATGACGCTCTTTTCGAATATCTCCCACTAGGTTAGTCTAGGACTAATGAGATCACCCTATACCAACTCCCAGACCATGCTTCGTAAACACCCTGGCTTGGAGAGGTTCTCAGTGAGCGCAACAACCACACGATGCTGCCAAAAGTGTGTCCAGAGACTACAAAGCATCGAATAGTACCTTATTCTTAGAATGTAGGAATATGTTACCACTACAACGACACTTTGATCACCCACGACCGACAAGCTGAGATGAATAGGGCCAAACAGGGCAATCTCGAATTGACAGCAGAAAGCGGGCGGGTGCTTAAGGTATGCGTGCCTGCTCTTTTGTTGGACAGTTTGAACTTAGAGAGCCCCACGTGTGTTCTACTTATTAGGGACAAGGAACTATCTGCTTGTCTAAGTACGATTTTGGTAGATACGGTTATACATCTTCGTGTTTCTTCCACGACCGATTTATTGGCGCAACGGGCCGCCCGTCACTCGAATCGAGCCGGTTTAAAGATAGCCATTAGCGCCCAACCACTCCCTGATAATCTCCCCATCCGCCTGCCTGTACCTGGCATTACTCTTAACCGTATCGAGCGCAACCGCCAACCCACGATCGAAGCCCTCTTTATCCTCCTTATCAAAGAACGCCTCAATATCGCTCAGGACGTCATAGCTAGCGTACTTCTTGAGCGAAACACGCAGGTAGCGTTCCAGCACGACCATGTTTCCGCTCAGCCGGCCGCGGACCATGGGCCAGTTGTTCTTGATGAACTCCCACACTGCGATGCGGACCTTGGCGTTGCTGGCGAGTGCGTTCGCGGGCGTGTGCATATCCTGGGTGGCGACGGCGCCGCTGAAGGACCAGTCGAGGTATTGGCGGGCGAGGTCGAGCGACTGCACGCGGCCCAATGCGCCTAGGGCGATCTCCTTGCCGTCGATCGAGGTCGTGTTGATGTATTCGTTCTTGACGGCGTCGAAGGCTGGTTGTCCGCCTTCCTTGACCGCGATTTTGAAAACGGCGGCGCGCAAGCTTGGGTGGATGGCCTTCTTGTCGCCGGACATGAAGGCGTCGAAGCGCTTCTTGGCTTCGGAGATAGTGCCCTGGTGACCTTGGAGACCGGCAGTTGAAAGGAGCAGAGCACGCAGTTGGCCGGTCAAATAGTCGTCGTGAGGGCCAAATTCCCAGCCAATCGTGTCCGTAGCATCGCTGACGAGCTTGAGGGTGAACTTACGTAGACCTTCGGAGATTTGCGCGTCGTCAGAGAAGATGGAACGAATGTTTCCTAGGCTAGACAACACTTCGGACCAGACAAGGTAGTTCTTTTCGACCTTGAAACCTTCCAAGAAAGCGAGGACGCCCGCAGTTGTAGCGTCACCAGAGACAGCTAAGGCAGCAGCGTCTCCGACCAGGCCAATCTTATCCTGAACGCTCAGCTTGTCGAGTTGGCCACCAAGCTTGGTCAGTCTCTGAGGTGGTAGATTGGTGCGGTAGAAGCCCGTCTGGTCTGCATTGAGCTTGTAGAACTCGTCATCGACGTTCCTAAGGGTATCCTCCTTGACCGTCAAAGCCTCTGTCTTGACCTCACTGCCTGTCTTGAGACCAAGAGGCACCCACCAAGTGGTCTCGTCCTCCTCTGGCTTGACGTCACCGGCAGACAAGAAGCGAGACTGTCGCACACTGACCTGGCCCGGCTCCTCAGCAGCGGTGAGTACTGGAAATCCAATCTTTTTGATCCATGGGTCCATGAAGGCATTAACGTCCTGTCCTGAGGCTTCGCTAAGGGCAGCCCAAAGATCTTGGGTCTTTGCGTTACCGTACTTGTGTGCCTTGAGGTAGTTTGAGACACCGAGCAGGAAGGTTTCGACTGTGAGATGGGCTGACAGCATACGAATGACAGAGCTACCCTTGAGATAGCTAATGTGGTCAAAAATTTGATCAACTTCAAGGGCGTTCCGTACGGGCACTTCGATGGGGTGGGATGTGCGAAGTGAGTCCAATTGGAAGGCCATTTGCATCGAATCGGTCTGAGGAGATGCGGTCAGCAGAATTTCACCATGACCTTGAACGCTGTTCTCGAACATACCACGAACTGTCCCCAGACATCCCAGTCTGGGTGAAGATGATCGACTGCGTACCAGCCAACCCATGTCGCGAAGCCCTCGTTAAGCCAGAGCTCATTCCACCAATCCATCGTAACAAGATTGCCGAACCATTGGTGGGCAAGCTCATGAGCCACGACATACACGACACGGTTTTTGTACTTCTGGTCGGAGGCGTACTCATCGAACAAGACTGCGGTTGTCCTGTAAGTAATCAATCCCCAGTTCTCCATGGCTCCGTGTGACTAGCAAGCTCGCGTTAGTTACATCATCTTACAGCAGGGTGAGATTGCACCTATTAACTACTCGAATATGAGTGTAAGGCTATTCGGGGAGGGGATAAGCACGTACAAATTCATGCACAGCCAACAGGTCGACCTTTGGAAGCGGGTAGTCAATGCGGAAGATCTGTGAGCGTCAGTAAATAGAACCAAATTGCTCATACAGAAGGGCTCACCTCGGAGAAGTAATCGACGATCTGGTGCGCACTCTCAAGCGCAAGCTTACCTTGATCCTTCAGGCCCTTGGTGGTGTACACCCTGACTGGTAGATTCTTGCCATTGTATTTACGTCTTGTAAAGTCCTCGACATACTCAAAATCGCCGAAAGCCCATGCATATAGGTAGGTGCTCATGATTGGACTGCGCTCGAAGGCGACGACTTTCAAGCCCTCCTTACTGCCCTTCTTGGTCTCTGTCTCCGGCATGTTTGAAAGCGCCACTTGGTCTTCCGGGATCTCGATGTCGAATTCGAATGAAGCCTTCAGGTTTGGCTCGTCGAAGCAGGGGAATGCTCTGCGGGCATCGGATGATTCGAACTGAGTGGACAACATGTAGTGATACTCGTCGTCTCTTGGAACAGAAGCTGCAGCCGGCACAGTAGGCTTGTACTTGGAACGGTAGAAACCAGCCATGTCGTTGTTCATAGTACCGGCGAAGGTGACCGACAGCACAGCCTTGTGCGACTGTGGGATCTCCTGGTCAAAGTGGAAAGTCGCTCTCTGCGTCTTCTCATCGTATGTAATGTTCGAAGCTTCAAGTGAACCCTCCGTCTTGCCCTGCTCCGTCGAGATTGTTGCATTGTGGACCTTGAGCTGATATGTGTTGAGTGTGATCTCTTTGACGCTGCTCTTAACCTCTACGTCAATGTCGACCTTGCCCTGATAGCTCCATTTACCGCCTAGTTCGAGATCGAAGAGGGAGAGCTTATACTTGGAAGGCTTGACACTAAAAGCACGCAGTCGTTAGGAGGTGCACTCTCAAATGGAAAGTCTGCCAATCTTACGCATCTGGGAGGACATCTCTATCGCTAGCCATCCTGACGATAGTGCTTGAAGCACTGCTTGAACAGGACCGGGTGGTTGGGAGGGAATGAGTAACTGGCAGATTCCTGAAAGATGTTCTCTTATAGCGATTGACCGGTGTAGTGATCCGAGGTGTGCGATAGTGGTGGTTTAGGAAGGTGGCATGTGAAAGCCGTATCGAGCTCTCCCCGCAGTTGGCTGGTGGAGTCACACTGATACTCCTACGACATGCAGCACCATTCCATACTGCAGAGTGCGCCTGCAGCACTTGAGCCCGGAGCTTCACAAAGTGATTCATCCTCCGGCGCAGACACCAGTACGGTGCATCCGGGATCGCACTTCTCACGAACCCGACATACGCGCACTCAGGAGTTCTCACGCGAGCATGCAATTCTTATGTCCTATAAGCCGTGTTTCCCCGGGAGGTTACAGAAGCCGACGTCGGTCGGTGATTTGTCGACCGCTGGTATGAGGCTATATATTAGATTTTACCAGCTGACTAAGACTATCAAGGCGACGTGGCCGAGTGGTTATGGCGGTGGATTCAAGTGAATTGAATACTTGGCTGTTTGAAACAGCTTCCCACTTCAGTAATGAGCAGGGGTTCGAATCCCCTCGTCGTCAACATTAACATATCTTTTTGCAGTTTGCAGCATTAATACAAGGCTGAGGTTTGAGTAACTCACAGAGATCTCTCCTTTTTGTTGTATTGATATTTTCAAAACCAGTCATTGCATTGCATGTTTCACTTTCGAAAGAGAGCGGTGCAGATTTTTGCGCGGTACACAGATAAGGTACAGGTATCGTACGGAACACACCTGACTTCTGAATGATGTGGATACTGTAAGCACCTGCATGGGAGGTCTCTGTTACGGATTGACCCTGCTCATGCCTACTTTGTTCTACTTCTCGATGGTGGATCGCCCCTTCTTTGTTTGGAAACTTTCATAGACAAAGCAGGATTTGTTGGAAATTGCAATACCAAAGATGTCACACACAAGAAACAGATCACAATGCCTTCATTGACAGATTTGACAAGGACCTTGTCCAGTATCAAAGATGGCACATAAAGGAAACAGATCACAATGCTTTCATTGACAGAGGTGACAAAGGACTTCGTCCTGTATTGATGATATATTTAAAGCGAGCATTGCCTTTGCCCAGAGGACTCACAGACGTTACCTTATACAACTTCCAACCATTCTGCACAGCTTCCAATCTACACTCAAATCACTATCCGAGCTACCATTTCTTATTGCACTACCTAACCAAGTACCATATCCATCACGATGGATCGTCTCAACGGACTCGGCGGAACGACAAAGCGGCCTCGGCAACCAAATTGGGCAACCGGTTATCGTCAAGAACCCTTTAACTTCCGTGCGCTACCACAAGAGCTCAAATTCGAAGTGCTGAAGCATGCCACAGGTCAGCATCTCGAGTATGACGATGAAATTCCCTACGCTCTGGGTGATATTCTGCCAGGCCTGTTCCACCGCGAATTCGCCCCAACAACCAGAGACTTGATCCTGCTACACTACCGTACCCACGCGAAGATACTAACTCCTGCTTTTGCTTACAGTCAGCTGCAACCCAGCTTCGAGATTGGCAAGACTTGGGATATCTTTCCCTCTTGCCATCTCGACGCCTGGTTCCAGGCCGGCAAGTTACTGGTGTCGGCACCAATTCGCGCTCTCATCGCGATAGAGAAGCGGGCGTGATCAGCAATGAGTCGTATATCATCTACTTGCAATACGCCGACGAAAGCATCCGACAGATCATGGCCTCAATCAACGGCACCGTAGGTCACGACATTCTCACCGACAGCGACTACATGTCCATGCTGCGTTTATGGCGCTACCTGGGCGGCGCCTACATGCCCGACGTCCAGGCCCGGTACGACTTTCTGTCCACGCTGACCCTATCAGAGCGCTCCGAGCTCGACAAGCTCCTCGACCGCATCATCACTGCCATCGCATACAAGTACCGGAACTCGCCATGCCGTGACCTCAACCTGCGCACCGTCTACGGCGGCGTCCAAATCCACCAGCGCCCCGTCCCTATGCCTTGGAACCAGTTCACGCGCTCCGGGCTGTACGCGCTCTGCCTCAAGCACTTCCTGCTGGGGCTGCGCGCCGAAGACTTCTCGCGGCTCTTCTGCTGCCAGTACAAGCGCAGGCGCCCTGGCGTCTGCTGGTGCCTGCTCCCGCCGTCAGAGCTGCTGCTGACGCTGACGCAAGGGTTTGAAGATGATGCCAGCATGGTGCGCATCGAACCCTACCACGTCAGTTACTGGTATCTGGAAGCCACGCCTGATCAAGGCAACGAAGGGTGGGAAATGCTGAATCCGGACGTGGCTTGGGACCTCGCAATGGCGCTTCCGCAAGGCACGCCGCTCGCGATCACGGCGGGTGCAGGGGGCGCGCCGATTCCTGATCGCTGTTTTGGTGTCCGTGTTGTGGATCTTGGGCTGAACAGGTACCCGGAATGGGATGCTGACTGGACTGAGCTGGGGATTGATCTCCCAGCCCTGTTCGGAGAGGAGTAGATGAAGGGTTCGTGTACTGCTAACAGAGCATCGGTCAAGGTAATTTGGGCTAGGAGGTGGAGGATACGGATTGACTAGGGTGGAGTGGAGTCTTTGCGTAGGTAAGTTTTGCTTAGGCTGCCATTTAGGAACAGGTAGGTAAAGTGCAGGCGCATGCCAGTTCAGTATTCGCGCGCTTCCTGAGGGAGCTGTGCTGTTTGAGTACCTAGGTAGAGATCTGCCAATCCAAGTCATCATCATCAGAAACCCGGTCATAGCCACATGCAGTCTCAAATGAATCGTAAGCATATCTGTAGCCACGCCATCCATGCACCGCGCAACCACCGCCCAAAGCCCATGCCATGCACCTCCCATGCAACCCAACACCCTCCCATCCCAATCCATCCCGTAGCCAAAATGAAAAGAAGAAGCAAAACGCCCGCTCCTAATGCAAATGCAAACTTCCGATCTCAGCCCGATCCCTCCCTCACAACCTCACCGCAACATCAATACACGGCACCCTCCACTCCCTCCTCCCCACCGCCGCCTTAACCCACTCCGCGCCACTGACACCCTCCGCACCCGCTTCCCCATCCCTCCTCCTAAGCCCCTTCAGCGCCTCCCCAACCGTCGCATTCAGCGCGGCCAAGTTCCCAGGCACGTTCATGTTCGGTAGCGACTCAAGCGACGGTAATGGTGATGGTAATGGTGAGGTGTATGGTGAGGGGAGTCTGGGCTCGAACCAATTGGCGTGGAAGTCGTAGAGGGAGAGGACGAGGATGGCGAGGAGGAGGGAGCAGTAGACGCAGGGTCGGTTGAGGATGTAGGTTGCGCTGACGAAGAGGAGGAGGTAGAGGGGGGAGACGTTTGTTCTGTGGCGGGGTTACGTTAGCTTGGGTCTGCACCTAGGGAGTGGGTAACTGCCAGGGCCAGAGTAGGTAGGGTAAGGTGAGGTGAGGTAGAGGGAGCCGGGAAAGCTGTATGTGCGGGACGCGAGGTGGGCGAAGGGAGGGGCGGCGGGAACGTGAACATACAGGAAGAACAGGACCGGGATCCAAGTCCTGAGACAAAACATGGCGGGCTGCGTTCGCTTTAGAAGTGCCGGCGCGTTTCTCTCTTCTCGAAGTGATAGAGGTGCGTTTAACGCTGGCGAGGTAGAATAGAATAACGAGGGAAGATTCGAAAGCGTTTATCTTAGAGGAAAGGTCATGGTAGGTTTTCTCGGCGCAAGTGAATGTTTAGCCGGAGCAGTGCGCAACAGATGGGGATTCATGTGAGAGTGGTGGAAGGGCTTGGCGTTCGTGGGTGAGGGATGACGCAGCGGCAGATTGGGCGTGGAATGGTCAGCTTCCAATGCAATCTTTCACATGGAACAGTGAGCGTAGGTATGTATATGAACCATAACGTGTGTTATAAAGCAAGTAAACAGTCTATGTAATTTTTCGTACAGTATTGTGCAATACAGTCTCGGGTAGAAATTATGCGGGTCGTGCATCGTCATAACCGCGTCTCTTTCTTTCAATCAGCAATCTGCCCTGTCTCTCCGATATCCCACCATTACCAGAGGCGAGGTTAGGGATAGTCTACAAAGTTGACTCTAGCGCCAGGACCTGTTGTGATGTCAGTCAATAACTCCTTCATCGTCTGTTTCCATGTCAACACTTACAAGTGCAGTCCTGGTAGGGATGTAGACTTGCAAGAAGTTCTTCCTCTCGTTCCATCCGAACGGGGTAGTGAAGAACCTCGTGCTGTTATCCACTCTTCCAAGCCCACCGAATGATTTGCTGTCGCTGTCGAGTACGATCTTGTACGTGCCTTCCTGCTCAACACCAACCCTGTAGTCAGTGAAGCTGCTAGAGGGGTGGAAGTTGAAGATCCATAGCAAGCCTGCACGCTCGAACACGATCACCTTGTCGCCCTCATGCTTGAGAGAGACATAGGCCTGCGGTGAGTGCAGCCATCCATACTTCTCTTCCGTCCACTGCATGGCGCTATCAAAGTCGTTCAAGAACCGGTAGCGCAGGAGGTGGTCATCCACCAAGTTGAACTGACGGCGGGCGTAATGGAAACTGTTGTTGTTTCCTTCACGTGGGAAGTCTAGCCACTCAGGGTGGCCGAACTCGTTGCCTTCGAAGTTGAGGTAGCCTTCACCACCCAAACCGTGGGTTATCAGTCTGATCATCTTGTGGAGAGCCATGCCACGCTCGATCACGGGGGTGAACTCCGAAAGTGTCGACATGTTGGTATAGATTTGAGAATCAATAAGCCACATGAGCAATGACTTATCGCCAACCAGTCTAGGAATAGATGTCAGTACACGCACTATGCTCATGAAAATGTAGACTCACGCTTGGTCGTGACTCTCCGCGTACGCAATGGTTTTCTCCCCGTGACGCCTATTGGTGAGAGTGAAGCACAGTCCGCCCATGTCCCAGTCGATGTCCTGCTTCTCCTTCAACCACTTGATGTAGAGATCTGGAATAGCCATGGCGAGTCTGTAGTCGAATCCTATTCCGCCCAAAGACAGCGCAATGCACAGAGCTGGCATTCCCGACACATCTTCCGCAATGGTAATGCAATCAGGGTAAAGCTGATGCAGCATCTCGTTAGCAAGCATCAGATAAACGACACCGTCTTCATCCACGCCTGGGCCGAAGTATTCATGGTATCCGCCCGAGAATCCGGTCCCAATGCCGTGGTGCGTATACAGCATGCTGGTAACACCATCGAATCTGAAACCGTCGAACTGGTACTCTTCCATCCAGAACCGGAGGTTGCTGAGCAAGAATCGCAGAACTTCGTGACTGCCGTAGTTGAACAACCTGCTGTCCCACAGCTCATGACGACCCCTTGCGCCTTCGTGGAAGTAGAGGTGGTCGCTGTTGTCAAACATGTTCAAGCCATCCAGCACATTCTTCGAGGCGTGGCTGTGAACCACATCGAGCAGAACAGTAATACCCATGCCATGTGCCGTGTCAATAAGCTCTTTCAGGTCGTCTGGGAATCCGTATCTGCTGCTCGCTGCAAAGAAGCTATTGATCTGATACCCGAAGCTAGCGTAGTATGCATGCTCCATGATGGCCATCAGCTGGATAGT